TCTCCAAGTGTCCTGAGATGACACCACTCTCCCCTCTGACACTTTGACCCCTTTTCCTGGGCTGTGTGAGGCCAGGTGCTAGGTTCTGTCAGCAGTCTCAGCTGAGAGGCCTGCAGAGCTAGATCCCAGAGGGGACCAGGCAGATGGTCCTATGCCCAGATTCCCCCCTTCAATCAAGGAATCTCAGAGCCCTTCCCTGGGGAGGGCCCCACACTCAGTCCCTTCTCGCCTCTTCGCATGTAGATCCTTCTAAGAAATGGAGACTGAGGGAATGAGCTGAGCTGGTGCTTTATTTCAGGAAAAGTGAAGAGGGGAGGCTGTGGCAGCTGTGGGCACCAGCTGGAAGAGAGGATGGCACCAGAAGGATCAGAGGGACACCCACTAACTTGAGACTGACAGAGCTCAGTGTGCTTTCAGAGACATATGCTGAGCCCTCTACTACAGAGTGACTGGACCCCAGACCCTGACTACACACAGCATGCCACCCCGAACCCCCCTACCCCTGGCATGACTGGCCTTTCCCTCAGACCTGGCTGGTGCGGAAAGCCAGCCCTGCCTCCAGCCCAGACTAAATCTTCCCCTAGGAGATAACAGCAGCCAGGAAAGCCAAGAGGGATCCAATAGGCATTAGGCGATGGGCCCAAGAGATCAGGGCAGTGTTGTAGTCACATTCCAAGTTTAGATTTACACACTCAGCACAGATATTCCTTCTTAGTGCTCTGCCCAGAATTCTAGTATGCTGTCACCAAGTGGTAGTAGTAGTGGCTCCTGGGGAAAAATAGACAGGATTATTGAAGGAAGAAATTATTTTATATACCACCACTGTTTCATATTAATATATGATAATAGCACTAAAATTCCGGCTTTGCCTTCTGCATGCCAGGCAGTGTTCTGAGTGTTTGACGTGTGTCATCTCATTTAATCCTCAGAACAGTCTTACATGGTAGTTACTGTCACTGCCCTGGTGAAGTAACTTGCCCAAGATCACAGAGGATATGGATCCAAAGTCTGTGCTCTTAACCCTTGCACACTGCATGAATGGGCGATTGCCTGGGGAAGCAGATCAGTTCATAGTCCAGTGCCACCTCCTTTTTTGTTTGTTTTGTTCTTTGTTTTGAGACAGGGTCTCACTCTGCTGCTGGAACTGGACTGCAGTGGCATGATCATAGCTCCTTACGACTTCAAACTCCTGAGTTCAAGTGGTCCTCCTGCCTCAGCCTCCTGAGTATCTGGGACAGAGTTCCACCATGCCCAGCTAATTTTTGTACTTGCTGTAGAAAGTATTCTTGCTCCGGCTTGTCTCAAACTCCTGGCCTCAAGCTTGGGCCTCCCAGAATTCTAGGATTATAGGCATACCCCACCTGCCTGGCCAGGCCTGTGCTTCTCAAACTTAATGGCATGTGAATTCCCTTGGGGCTCTTGTTAAAATGCGGATTCTGGCTTGGTAGCTCTAAGGTGGGGCTTGACTGACTTCCTTCCTTCCTTCCTTCCTTCCTTCCTTCCTTCCTTCCTTCTTCTCTTCCTCCCTCTCTCCTTCCCTCCTTCTCTCCTTCCCTCCCTCCCTTCCTCCCTGCCTTCTTTCTTTCATTTTCTTTTTCAATTTTGAGACAGGGTCTCACTTTGCCAACCTTGGTAGAGTGCTGTGGTGTCATAGCTCACAGCAACCTCAAATTCTTGGGCTCAAGCCATCCTCTTGCCTCAGTTTTTCATTTTTAGTAGAGACTCTTGGCTCAGGCTGGTCTCAAACTTGTGAGCTCAAGCGATCCAACCACTTGGGCCTCCGAGAGTGCTAGGATTATAGGCACAAGCCACCGCGCCTGGCTGACATCCACATTTCTAACAAGCTCCCGGGTAATGCTGTCCCTCCTCGGTCTGGGATCCACACTTTGAATAGTCACAACGGAAAGCCTGTGTTTAAGCCTTTCTTAAACTCAAAGCCTGTGCAGGCTGTGTAGATAACATGTGTGCACAGAGCAGCTGGTGGGAGCAGAGGCGACATGGAGGGTGCATGTGCAGTCGGGCGGATGGGGGAGCTATTCCTCAGCCTCGGCCAGCAAGAATTTTGGACCCGTGTGGTCATGTTCTCTGTTTCTCATTTTCAAATATTAGGGTAACTCAACCAACTTTTAAAATATTCAGCAGCTTGTACACGAAGTTCATAGAAGCTTTATTTATAATAGTCGAAAATTTGAAACAACCCAAATGTCTATCATCTGATGAATGGGTAAATAAAACGTGGTATGTCTATACAATAGAATATTGTTTTGACAACAAAAGGGAAGGACATGGTGATACGTGCTATAACATAAACGAACCTTGAAAACATCACACTGAGTGAAGGAAGCCAGACCCAAAACAACAAATATTGTATGTTTCTACTTATGAAATATCTATAGTAGGGGAATCCATAAAGACACAATGTAGGTTAGTAGTTGCTTAAAACTGGGTGGGGCGAGGAAGTGAGTTTACGTAAGATGGAGAATGACGATTAATGGGCACAGTGCAACTTTTGTAGGGTGATAAAATTATTCTAAAATGAGATTGTGATGATGGTTGTAAACTCTGTGAATATACTAAAAGCTATTGAATCATCTTCTTTAAATGGGTGAAATGTAGGCGATGTGAATCATATTTCAATGAAGCTGTTTAAAAAAAACACTGTGGAGGAGACAGCTAGTTTTTCTAACATATAAAGTACAGTTACAAATCAACAAGAAAAATCTCACACCCCATCAGGAAAAAAGAATTATAAAGAGTATGAACAACCAGTTCACAAAGGAGACACAAGTGGTTCTTAAATGCATGGAAAATTTTCTCTTGCTCATAATAAAAGACATACAAGCCAAAGCTACTCTGAGAAGATTTTCTGCCTTCTAGATTGGCGATAATGAAATCTGTGTTGATGAGGATGTGGAATACTTTAAGTTGGTAAACCTGCAGTATGTGGGGGGTGGGGAGGTGGGGCAGTGACAAGTTGACATTATCTTTGAAAATTAATGGTGCACAAAAAATGGAAGCTGAAACTCAGGAATGGATTAACAAGCTGTGATGTATGTATACCATGGAATACTATTCAGCCATTAAAAAAGATGGAGACTTTACATCTTTTGTATTAACCTGGATAGAGGTGGAACACATTCTTCTTAGTAAAGTATCACTAGAACGGAGAAGCAAGAATCCAACGTACTCAATTCTAATATGAAGCCAGTAGATGATCTAATCCGTACCCTCATAAGACAAAAACGCCAATCAATTCAAGGTGGGGGGCAGGGGACGGAGGGAGTGGGGATAGGGGAGGGGAAGGAGGATAGGGGACACAGTGTATGGTATACCTCTTAAGGGCAGGACATAATTATAAGAGGGACTTTACCTGACAAATGGAATCAGTGTAACCTAATTCTTTGTACCCTCAATGAACCCCAAACAATAAAAAAAGGAAGATGCAGAATCAGATGTATAATCTGTTTCTATTTGCATAAGAGAAAAGAAAGAATATGTACAAATATATATGCTTTATATTTTTGTAAAGGCAGAGCCCATTTGGGGCCGGTATGAAGGAGATAGTTTGCCTCCCAGTATGGGAGCCGGAGGCTGGGTGCAGGAGAGACTCATTTTCATTGTGTGCCAGTTTCTGTGCCTGAGCTGCCTCTTTAATAACCATTTAAAACACGGTGCTAGGGGGCCAAATAGCACCTATGTGCAGGTCCATGCCACCACCAACTGCCCCTTTGTGACATCTGAGTTAAAGAAGTAACTCTCAGCTGAGTGGGGTGGCTCACGCCTGTAATCCAAATAAGCTTACTTAGGAGGCTGAGGTGGGGAGATTGTGTGAGGTCAGGAATTTGAGACCCAACTGGACAACAGAGCAAGACTCCATTTGACAACACAAAAAGGGGAAATAACTCTCAGCAACCCCTAAGTAATTCACTTCTTGAACCTAAGAGAGATATATGCTACCCACCACCTCCTCTGTTCTCTGTCCCTGTGCAGGTGTCCTAGCCTGGGGATTCCTGTATGTACTATGGGGGTAACTCTGGCATTCTCCAGACTACGGACAGAAGGTGCCTGTACCACACACACAGGTCATGGAGACTGAAGGCGGAGGGCAAAGGGATCCCATAGAGGCATCATCTTGGCCTCTAGTCCCTAATCCTCTGTGATTGCTTTCTGTCTTTCAGGCACGCCCCAAGGGCGAGGGTCTGACTCCGTACCAAGGTAAGAAGCGCTGCTTTGGCGAGTACAAGTGTCCCAAGTGCAAGAGAAAATGGATGAGCGGAAACTCCTGGGCCAACATGGGGCAGGAGTGCATCAAATGCCACATCAATGTGTACCCGCACAAACAGGTGAGCCGGGAGGCAGCTTCTCTGAGGGACTGCTGAAGGATGGCTGTTTCCTCGTTGGGCTTCAGTGTACCCCTCATACAGTGAGCATGAAGCCAGAACTTTCCAGATTGTCCTCTCTCCCTTTCTATCATCTAAAATGGGGGAGAGGGAGAGGGAGCCCATCTCCCCAGGAAGGGAGGGAGGATGAGACCAGGAGCCTGAGATCAAGAAGCCCAGGGAAACTTTTAAACTTACCTGGAGCGGCATGTGCCTGTCATGAGACCAACAGGGATGTGAGGGCAGCAGGAAGCTGCAGAATGCGTTCATTTCATTACCCTACCTGTCTAGCC